AAAATAACACAATAAAAAGCCAAACAAACCAAAACTACCCAAGACAGACTCACTGATCACTTCCTATAGCTCTGTTTTACACCATCCTAAATTCCACAACCAAAGCTCTAATACCACTAAAATTGTCACGACCCGACCCTATCCGGGACGGATCCCGCTTGCACCGGGTCACGACCGGAATGAAACGAACTGACTTACTGACGAGGATCTGGTTATGGAATTTGGTTCGGAACTAAATTTTTCAAATAATTTAACTCAAACAGACACACAGACACAGAGCTATTATGAATCATCAAACACAGCGGAACAAAATATCTATCATTTTCTTTTCCTCAAAACAATCATCTACAAATACAGTACATGGCTCAGACAGAAAGGAAAGACAGAACAGAAAAGCCATGACTGTACAAAAATCAAAAGTACAAAATAATACCTACGGATCAGACTATGAAATCTATTCCTGGACTTCCTTCCCTTTCCCAGAACCTGAAAACCACCAGAAAACAAGGATGAGCTCAACAGCTCAGCAAAGCAACAAACCTCTCAGAATCCAAAACCAAACATCATACAAATCCGTACAGAAATCAGAACAGAATCGGACAAATACCAAATCGGACAGATCAGAACGAAACAGATCAAATCAGAACAGATACGGACAGATCAAATCAGACAGAACAGAACAGGACAGATATCAAAGCAAATAGAACTGTACGGAAACAGAAGTCATCTCAAATCAGAAACAGAACATATCAGACATATCAAATCAACAGAATCAGAATCGTACAGAAATCAGAATTCAAATTATAGCGGAGCAGAACAGAATCGTATCAGAATAATATCAGAATCATATCATACAAATCAGATCAATTCATATCGTACAGAAATCAAAATCAGAATTGCTTACAGAACATATACGGAAATCAGAATCATATCAAATCAGATATCAGATATTATTCAATTCATAGCTAAATGCCCTGACACTGACGGAATCTCAACGAATTCCGGCCCCTTATGCCTCCCTTCCCAGACACTGACAGAATCTCTCGGATTCTGGCCCCTTATGCCTCCCTTTGTGCTCACGGCACCATAACAGATGTGCTTATAGCACCAGAACAGAATTCATCGGATCCGGAACAGAACAGATATCAGATTTCAGATTTGAGCTCATTTCAGATTTTCCAGACACTGACTGAATCGCTTAGGATTCAGGCCCCTTATAACTCCCTTTTTATAGCATATACAGATAGCATATCAATTCAGAAGAAATATGGACAAATCATAAATTAGACAAAAATCGGGTAGCACAACGGCAGTATACGGAATTTACACAACTTTTCCTGAAAATCACAAAATACCAAATTTGCACATAATGTAGATAACAACATTTCAGAATATTTATTCTACTGCACAGACAATTTTCAATTCGCAGAAAAATTTAGTCGACTAAAAACACAGTCGAATCAAAAACACCGGACAAAAATCTCCAGAAAATAACCAAAATGTACACACTCGGCACGTCAACAACATACAGAAAGTTACGCCGTAAAAACTGAACCAATCGAAATATACGGACGAAAATCACTAACGGAAACAAAATCCGGACAGAAAATACCGCCAAACACGACGGTTCTGAAAATTGAGAAAGGCGGAATGTGCCTTACCTTGCGTACAGCAATCCCAGATCGTCCTAGACGATCCTGGAGCAGATTTTGATATTACATCTAGTGTCCCATAAATATCATAAATATCATCTGTTGTCACAGCAAGGGCCATCAGCTTTGTCATAATAACTCTAGCATGTGAATAGCAGTGTTCACAGTAGGTTGTAAGCATCCAGAAGTAGGATTCTACTATTCGATCACGTACAAATGGTAAGTCTTTGAACAAGCCTAACTCTTTCCACCACCTGAAAACCACATGAATTAAAAATTTCTAAGGGATATATATATATAAGTAAAAAAAGTAATTTAAGTGCTATTAAAATTAGAAGTAAAAAAAGAAAAGAAAAAGAAAGATAAACTTACTCAGATATGATTCGAAGCTCCTCTTGATAAGTAGCTTGCAATATATTGAAATCAAATTTTGCAAAATCAAGTAGTTTTTTATTGCACAATTTGTACTTGTCATAAATTTCTATGTAATTTCTAGCCTTGAACCGATCAGGTGTTCTAACCAATGGAAATTCCAAAGCACTTGTCACCATCAAAGCAAAAGATGGCTCCATCTTGCAGATCAATGACTTCAAGTGAAACCTTGAAAATTTTTTAGCTTTCTCTAGTATTTCTTCATCAGGAAATCCAAGATAAGCAGATTCATACAAGCTTAGTAAACCTTTCACATTGTTGCAGAAGCAAGCCATGAAATCTCCTTTATCATCCAAAAACCTATTGAATACATCTGCAATATGTTTTAAGATAAATGATTTATGTTTACTTTAATTGTAGCTTTTGAGTTTATAGACGTTATGATGTTATGTACGTACTAGAACTTATGCTATATCTTTGTTGTCGTAATAGTCGAAAATGAAGTGCAACTGCATATAGATCATCATCAATGATGTTGATCTTCTGAACTCTATAGAATATATCATTGATTTCCTTCTCAAAATGATATGCCACTCCAAGCCATTGAATTGAATCAATCAGTTCAAGTGATTTTAATGGATCTGTAGCATTTATAAGAATTTTCTTCATCTCCGTTCTGAGCTCTTCGTTATTTTCTTTTTGCTCTGCCTATATTATTTTGCTCGAAAATAGTAAGTATTACTTGAAATGATAGTCATAGCTAGAAGATTAGTTTGTCTATAAGAAGTTGGACGAATCAAAATGAAGTCAACCAAAACTATTTATAATTTAGTTAAATACTATTTCCTTATAGTTTTGAAAATATTATTAAAATTAGAACAACATCTTTTGAGAGCCGAAGAACTTTCTCAAAATTATTCCTACCTAAATAACCAAAAACAACTGACCGTTGATATTACCTCTCCATCAGGAAAAATTATTAACTGGGTGTTCATACGAGTCCGGAGGTCAATTCGGACGTGCTATGTCACCCAATGCACAGTGCGTTGAATGATGTGGCATGTCCAGATTGACATATGGATGTATTCAGATACTGCATAGAATAATCTCTCCTCCATCAGCCATTGATGCTCTATTGCTACTATTGCATAAATTAACATATTTAATAAAAATTAAAAAATAAAAGTAATTTAAAATTATACCCCTTAACTACAACAGAAATAATTTTATAAAAGCTGAGGAGAACTTTTTTTTTTTGAAGAGAATAACACATCCTCCTTTGAAGAGTATATATACTACTAATTACCAGACTGGTATTTGATTGTAATGGTGAATAGTTGATGAAATAATCTCCCCAAACAGTTGGGTGGTAATCTGCAGATTGGCGAGAAGTTGTCAGAGGTACAGGAAGAGCCTCCATTAAAGTCACTTTACTTAGAAAGGAAGATATGCTTAGAGAAGCTAATTTTTATGGCTAAATGTGTTGATGGTGTGAACAATTTATAACAGCTAGCGCGAGATGGAGTGATGGAAAGGCCAAGATTTAAGAAATAAAAGGACAGATATTTTCATTAGATGCCGACGAAAATTGATTGGTCATTCTTCGATTCATGGAACGACAAATATTGATGGTAGATCCAATCAAAATATTGTCCTATTAAAATAAGATATTTTTTATGACTTTTGTTGCGTCCTGGAATATTCGCGGCGGTAGAG